ATTTTATAACATTAATTTTTGCAAATTAAATTCAAAGAAAAATAAAAATTAATTTTTAAATATTTCAGGATTTATTTTTTTCAATCAATATTTTTGCAAATATGTTTTTCCAATTTAATTTAAACAATATTTACTTCTGTTTGCATAAGAATTAGAATGTCTTCCTATTGGAAAATTACTCAAAGTGATGACGTCACTTCTTGTTGGTCGTTTGTTTGGCATTATCGACACCGGGAAGGTATAAATTGCGCCGTCTCAGCGTAGACGCACAGTTTTGGCGCGGTCAGCGCATTATTACAAAAGGCTGATCGCGACAAATAATGATAATAGAGGCACGACAGTTGTGCAACGCAGAGTTTGCATTTCTACAAAAAGTACACCTGCGGGACGAATTGTGTGACGGACACTTCCAATAAAAGGGGAATTAGCTTCCTTGGGTTTAATTGCCACGCCAATTACGTTCATCCTTGTCGTGGGCAGCCGATTTAGAATGCGAGGAGCAGCTTGCCGGTTTAATTGGATTCCGATTTGAATTGCATGCGCGGATTTGCAATAAATTAAGGAACAACTTGCGGATGGTTTTAGAAATTATCCAGTTAAAGAGAGATCGTAATGAGCATTGCGTCTTGTAATTCATAATTTATGGCTCATGTAAGTTACAATAATGAGCATGGATTTGTGAGGAATTTTGAAAAAGGAAATTAAATTGCCACAAGAGGAAATTTATTGAACGGAAAATCGGAGAAAAGCATATATTTTTTAAATTGCTTCTTTACTTTAATTATTTTAACAGAAGTCAATGAATTATTATTTTATTGTAATTCTTCATTATCTAGTTCAATGCAAATTATTTAGATCAATGAGAAATCAATTCCAAATGCAGATTTTGAGCAATTTTGATACATCAGAATCTTAATTAACTTGTCCATTAACAAGGATGGGATATCAATTAAAAAATTTTTAGAGTAAGCCTAAACAATGTTATGAGCTTTCATTAAAAATAAATTAATATACAAATTTTTTTTGGCTAATTTTAAATTTCACAGTAATGCTAAATTTAAAAGTTTCATATGGAAACTATAAATTATTTTGTAACTATTCTGAGTTTGAATTAGCAATTCCTCATTCGACTGCGGACATTAAGAGCAAGTTTTGCTCAAGAGGAGATTGGAAGCTGCGAACCCCTGCGGAGACCGACAATTGAGCCCTCTCGCAATTTTCAGTTAATCGCTTTGGCCGCCGAACTCGCTCGGTGCGGTGGCGGCGATGCACGTGCGAGTGAAAATACATCAAACGACCGACGAAATCTAAAAATCCCATCAAGTCTTTTGCGAGACAAAAAGCAGTGCGAAATTCACACAGGGCAAAAAGAGCCGACAGTCCGCGAGATTTATGTAAATCTATTTCCGACGCCAAGACCATTATTTTTTGCCGCAATCCGTCGCCCCAACGAATTTCTCAAAGCTCATTAGAGATTGATATAATTGCAGGCGCCACTTATGGTGACTAGCACTGTATATACATTATAATAATTCCTCCTCCTTCTCTTTCTCTCTCAAGTCAGTCTCGCGGTTTAAAAAGTCTCCATACCACCTCGCTTGCATGAACCTTGGCAGTCCAATAACGCGGGCCCTGCTCAAGGCCGGCGCGGCCAGTGTTCCTCACGAGCACATAAAGCCAACTCCAGAGCCACTGACATCTTTTAGCAGTTTTTTCGCTTAAATAAACCTTGAAACGCGCGCTTTGGGTAGCCAAATAGGCGAGTCTTTTACTTCTTTCCGCAGAATTTCTTGGTTTGTCGGGCCGGTGCTAATTCTATTCAATTAGAATCCACGTTTTTCTTTAAAAAATCTCTTCCCTGAAAAGTGCAAAAGCTATTTTAAAAAATAGGAAATAAATATTTATTTAGCTATATAGAAATTTAATTCCTTTAAAAAATTAATTGAAATATTTTAAAAAAATTTGATTTTTATTTAATCATTCTCTTTTTTAATTCCAGACCTCTATTGTACCTTGCAATGATCGAGGTCGCCGGCGTCGGTTGCGAAGAAGAACGCAATTTTCCGGTTCGGCTGCCGGCGGCAAATTTATCGCATTTGTTTTCAAGACGTTAATTCGTTCAATTGTTTTCCATCTGAAAATTGGACTCGGGCATTCTTGCAGACCGGCGAGCATCACGCATGATTTACTCTCGCTCGCATGTCTGTCATCCCTCTTTATAAATGGAACTCGGGCTGCAGATTATTGTAATAACAGATGGAGCGGCGGCGGGCGACGTCATGATGTGTGTTAACCTCTCTCGCGAAGTCAAATATTAATTAAGCTATTAGCCCTGGCGGACCTCAATTCTCTCTCAAGAATTACATTCGATTTATTTTGACTCAAGATGCTTCCGGTGTTTTCATTTTTAGAAAATTTAATTTATTTGGTGCTATAAAAAATGATAGAGTTAAATATTGGTTGTTTTAATGCCTCAATTTATTCTGCTAGGCCATTTTTCTGAGAAATGATTTTCCAGTCCGATGATTTTGATGCAAACCGCTTTCTAGATCTCGTGATCTGAAACTAACCAAAGGGCCACAGGCGGATAATGGAAAGGAATTGAGAATGCAGAAAATATCGCCGAGACATTTCCGCCTTTTCAATCGCGACAAACAATCTCATATTATATTGGAAGAAAAGTGAAGCACTTTTGCGGTTTGAGCAAAACAAAGGTCCGCCTCGAGGTGCAACTGGCAAAGAAATTTTCAAGCCCAAGGTCAAGAGCGTTCAACGTTTTCAGTGGCGTCACCTCGCTTGTGAGTATAATAAAAAAAGTTGCGCATATAAAACGATTCACTTTCACCTTCTTTTCTTGAATAATAATTCCGGTGGGCCGCGACGACGGAGATGAAAAAAAAACACACACATGCACGCGCCCGTCGACGAAAAGTGAAAGAGATACATTATAAATACATATAAATGAATAAGCAGCAGAAGTGACTAATCACATAACAACAACACGCTCGGCGCGTAGTGGGTTCAATGTCAGTCAATCTCTCTTGGCGTCTCACGAGTCGCTCGTTTCCACCTGCACAAACTTTACGCAGCGCAAAAAAGGACAGCAGTTCCTAAAAGTGCTAATCAGGCAGCTGAAGGAAATCGCGCACGAGTGTAATGAGCTGGGCATTTTTTTTAAATTACTTACTACGCAATATGAATTTATATAAAGTTACTTTCAAATACTCTTGACGAGGTTTAGAAATTTTCTGAAACAAGTTTAACTTCAATTTTTAATTTAATGAATCAATGCATAATTATACATTAAAACTTGAATTACAATGAATGTTGAATTTTAATAATAAAAATTATTTCAATGCCGGAACTTGCGGCTTCCATAACGAGGGTTACAAATGTCAAGCAAATGAATTATTTCATGATTTTATTATTATAGATTACCAAGGGAATGGGGTTGAATGTGAACTTATTATTATTATTATTTTTTTTTGTGATCAGATCAAACTTTGAGAAAACGGTTGTACCAAATTATGAAAGGAAATCAATGAGATCGAATTTTTTTAGCAAAACTTTCCCCCATTAAAAGGAAAACCGGTCTCCAACAGGAACGCCACCGGAATAGAATGATAAGCGTTTCCTCGCTTGAGCATGTGCGATAAAACTTTGGGTTACGCAAAAAGTCTTATTATATAAATTTAAATAAAAAGTGAATTAATTATTCCCGCTCAAGGACACACACGCGTTTTCCCTCTTGCCAGAGAGATTAGATAATCGACTTTGCCGAATGCAAAGACTGACTCTCGCACCGGCTGAAATTAAGGAACACTCGAGACTTTGAAGAAGGCGTTTTGAAAAATCAAAAGACTCGCTTGAGTGAGACCGGCTCGGAGCTTTGACTCTCTCGAGAGATACGTGATTTGCGCAAAGTTGTTGACATTGAACAGAGCGTTGTTCATTCCCTTTGTCAGGTACGTGAAATAGCATCGAAGGCGTCTTTTCTCGAGGACGCCGGCCGGGGTTTTGGTACGAACGAACCCTCAATGGATGGCGGCGCAGCAAACACTCGCCACTTCCTGTCTACGAGGGCGCGAGGTAAAAATAAAATCTGGTTCGAGATGACTTGTTGCTTTTTTCGTCTTTTTTAGGAACGGTATAAAAGAGTGATAAAACCAAATGAAATAAAAAAGTTCTAGATGATTTTTTTACCATGTCAGTTGGCGCGCCGACGACGATATCTTTCATAGTTTGGGGCCCCAAGTACGGGGAGGCCGAGGGCTGTATCCACACAATGGCTGGGCAGTTGGAGAAACGCACAGAATTTACTTATCCGCACTGGTCTGCCGAACGCACAATTCACTATTTTCGTATGTATACCAACAATGGCCGGGTCGCGCTCGGTGACTCACAAGAATCGCTGCTGCTGCTGCTCAACGCGTTGCCGACCACTCGGTTCGGCCGCCAATTTTTACAAAAATATATATACTCGCCGACGAAAAAACAAGTTGTACACTATTTACAAAAGTACAGAGAGCGGCCTAGGGTGTTGTTGTTCACATTGAACGCCTGTGCGCGAACGACGAGCAAGATACGCTTGGCCTCTCTGCACCTACTGTACTGGCGTCGAGTGGCTGGCGTGCATCCGACGACTTGCCCGCCAGTCCCCCTCACGATCGTTTGCCAAAGCTCTCCGAACTCTGGCGCGAACGAATTTTTCAATTTTTTTTTCCAATTAATTTTCTTCCTTTCACAGAAATAAATTTTATTTTTGGATTTAAAAGTTATAATGGATTCGGAGAAAGTATGGAATTAGTTTTGCTGATTTCCCAATCGAAACGGTAACTTTCTTTCTTTCTCAGGCAGCCTTGCTGTTCGACCTCTCTTTTGTCCTCGCCCAATTTACTTGATAATGTGCCACTGACTGGCTACTGGTCATGAATTGCCAAACGGCCGGCGAGAGATTTGCAATGCATGACAGGGGAGAAATGAAATTCAATTCGACTGACCTGTCCGTTCCTATTGTGTGGTTGTCCAACCAACGAGGGATGCGGCGGAGGCGTCGTCATTGCTGTGTTCATGTAGACCATTTGTTCTTGGTGCTGAAATTTGAAAGCAAAACAATTAGAATTTTAAGAAAAGCATTTATTGAATGATTTTTTTTATAACATTAACAATGTTTCATTTTGTGTGACAGAAAAATTAAAATGTAATTTTATGAAATAAATTTGATCTTATATATCAAATTGTGCTTGATTGTGATTTTAAAATAAATTTTTTTTTATACATTAGCAATTCATAAAGCAATCAGCGTTTTTTTTTTAACCTTTATCAATTTCAATTTGAAAAACAATTTTTGCTTTCTTTTAAGAGCAGGTATTAAATGTATGATCTAAAATTTTATTGTTTTTTAAGAGGTTTAATATTTTTTTAATGTTGCTTAAGTTTGAAATTCCTAAAATATCAATGAGATATAATTAAACTTAAAAATAAAAAACATTTCAATACACAATGAATTTATAAATTATTTATATTTAATTTACACTGAATTGAGTTTAACAAAAAACTAATTTTTAATTTATGGTTATGATCTTAATAAAGTAATCAATCTTATGAAATAAATTCATAATTATAATGAAATATTATAAATTATCTCTGGTTAAAAAAAGTTAATTTTAATGAAAAATTTGCCATTTCATTATTTGTTGTATCACTAACTAAAACCTGTAAAAAAATTTGGAGGGGTATTAGAAATTTTGAAAAATTAAGTTATACGAAACTTCGGATTTTGGTCAGGGCAATTAAAGAAAAACCATGCAAACTGCAATACCTTGAGCACTGCAGCCTGATGCATTTCATATGCACTTGCCAGTTGAATCTGAGGCATCATTTGGGGCTGCATTTTACCAGGAGAAACCTTCCACCGATCATGGATTACATGATGATTCTACAGAGAATCAACCAACCAACATCACCATTAGTATAAAAAAGGGGCAGAAACGTTTGAGAGCGTAAAAACTGGATACAGAGACAACCAAACCAAAGAGGAAAGTAGTCAGAAAGAATAAAAAGGGCATGCAATTGAGAGAGAACTGAAATTTGTTTGTTCAAAATGAGAGGCTCACATCGATAAAGGTGTCATCTCCGAGTGCCCAGCGTGCCGGCTGCTTGATGGCAGCGTAATGAGGGAAATCGGGGTCTGTTTGTGCTCGTTGGAAAACATATCCCACGAAAGAGTCATCTTGAGAACCCCTCACCTGAGGCCTGCCTTGAGCCTCCATAACAACCCCCTGCGCACAGGCACGCCAAGAGAACTTTGGTCAATCACACACATTTGGCCAATGTAAGAAAGAAACTAAAAAAATAGACAGACAGAGAGGGACAGAACTCAAGTGTACACAGACGAGTAGGCTAAATTGGGATGCGCATACTGAAAGAAAACAGAGGATGGTGGAAAGGCTTTAGGTGCGATAGGTTTTTCAGCAAATAGATACATAAAATCAATTTTTATAAAAAAAAAAATGTATAACTTTGCATTTGTTTAGTAGAAATTTGATTGATTGATAAATTGTATAAAAATATTTTAATATTTGGTTTATTTTTAAAATTTCAATTATTTTCTATTATGAGAAAGTGAAATTTGTTAGAAAGAACATGACAGGTGTCAAGATTTGTGATAAAATTAATTATCAAACAATTTTTTACATTAATCTGAGATTTACTTTGCTGTGATTTGATTATTGGTTTGATTATTAGCTGATAACGTCTCTATTATTAGGATGAAGGGACACAAGAAGCTCCAAAAACAGACAGAGATGGCAAGTGTAGGCAGTCAGGATACACACTTGAGGATTTCGTAGCATTTCCGGCGAGGTTTGATGACCATTTCCCAGGATTCCAGAAGATGGGTGTTCGTTTCCGCCAGCCGTTGGATCAGATCCGAGCCACTTCATTCTAGAAAAAGAATCAATATTAAAATAAAATACTCAGTTCCGTACATGTGTATTTATTCAATAATTTTCTTTTGTTACGGGTTTTTAATATGAGAGCTTAATAAATGAATTTTGTAGCAGAGAGTGATTGGATATAATAAAAAATTTGAAAAAATTGATTTTAATAATTTTTTAACTCCTACGCTCGGAAAATAATTCAGGCTCAGCTTTAAAAAATAACTTGCAGAAATAATTTATGCTATCAAATCAGTCTGCATAGCTCTATTAAAGTAACAGATCTTACATTTTATCATGCTGCATTATCAATCTTTATTTTTTAATTTGAAAAATAAATTTTTAAAAAAATATACAAATTTGATAAAATAAAAAATTTAAAAGAATTTACACAATAAACCCGAGTGCATCTCTGATTATAAAATTTCAACCAAGTTGATTGTAAATTTTCAGAAATAATTTATCGCGGATCAAAAAATCAATTTTGGGGAATTTCGGACGCAGGTGATTTTCTCTGTTGTTGCTGTGCCCCCCACTCAAAACTTTGTCTGCTGTCAATGTCAACGGGAGCCATGATGATTGTCGGCATTCAACGAAAACAAATAAACAAACTCAAAATTATGCAAAGACAGCTCGAAACGCGACACCCGGCCGTCGTGCCGGGCGCAAAATAAAATTTTCGCCGGCGCCGGTCGCCTTCAAATGCTTGCCCGGTGCTCTTTCGGTGCTCAAAATTGGCCAAATTCGCACCAAATGACAGCTCGCTGCGCACAATCTTGCGAGGCAGGAATTAGCGCGAGTAAAAGGACAGTGAAGTTAATTCACGGTCAGACCTTCGGCTCACCTATGCTCGGCAGGGTGCTCAAAGGGTCAATCACTGGAAACACCCTCAAGTCGCAAAAACCGGGATGCAAAAATGGTGCGGCCGAGCAGGTAGCGGCTCAGCGACGATCGATTTTCGGCTGCTTTTTTCACGAGACGGCGCCGAATTTGGGGCCAACTATCGCGTCTGATGGCTAGAGCGGTTCTTTAAAATTACGTAGGGGACGAAAAACAGTTAAAAATGACTATTTACAACGCGGATGACTCCTGATTACACTCACAACTTCACTATGTACATTCCATTCAAACTTCAGCAGTCATTTTTCCTCGTGTTTTTGAATCGATAGAGCGAAATTGCAGGGGGCGGGAAAATTCAGATATTCAAACACTAGCGCCCTTTCTGTCAAAGGTCTTTGTTAGTAGTACCTGGTGCAGCCACGAGGTGCCGTGAACGACTGGTGTTGCACTTTTTGTCTTGGACTCCAATTTTGTATGTACGGAATACGTATTTTATTGCTTGCCATAAAGGCAAGTAAACTCTCGGTGTAAGACGCCGGTCGATAAAAGATTTTAATGAGCAGCGAAAGTAAAAAGATTCACTCGAGAAATCAAAAGTTTCTATTGAAAAATTGCAGAAAAGTCTAGTTTTCTGCGAAATACCACCGGTTTTTACACTAGCAGCTCAAATTACGCACTACGCCATGAATAATAATTGTCAAGACTATTTTCGGTGGCGGCATCATAATTGGTTAACTATGTTGTTTTTACCGATGCATTCAAGTTATTCCTTACTTATTTTATAAGTATTTTTATTTATAATTTATATTATCTCATATTAAAATTGTGGTATTAGCAAAAAATGTATAAGAATTTAAAAATCAAATATTGAAGCTAATTTTGTTATTATAAAGAAAAACAAAAAAATACTATTTGTAATAGTACGGCGACTTCCTTTTAACTGTTGCTTTAAAATAAATTCATGATGAATATACTCAGAAAAAATGTATCAATCATTATTCCTCTTTTTTTAATGCGGAAGGTACAAAATGAAATAAAATCTTGACTCTGAATGAAGAGTAAATCAAATAAAATCTATTCTAATATATTATGAAAAATTCAATTAAGTCAAATTATTTCTAATTATAAGTCCCTTTTATTTGCAAAAATTTGAAAGAATGTGAAGCGAAAAAAAATTCCCAACGGAAAAGCTATCATGGTACCTCATACGAAAATTATATTCAGTCTCCTAATAGAAGCTTTAAATTAGCAATGCAAAGAAATTGATTCATTTTTTTTTTTAATTTAACTATTTTTAATAAAAATCTTTTTTTAATTATTAGATTGCAAAATAATGTTACGTGCGGTTACGTGCTACACATGTTGCTATTATTTTTTACATTAATTTGATACTTAAATTGTGCCACTCAATTTTTTATTCCTTCTAAAATTTTAAAATTTTTATTCAAATATTATATTTTTTATTTATTGAAAACAAACATACTCTTAATTACATTTCAGTCTCTTTAGCCTCTTCGGTCTGCTTTAGTCGTAGATTTAAGATGTGGAGCATTGCTGAAGAGATTAAGGATTAAGGCTGAATAAAAAGCGAAAACCCAAGAAAAATTGACCGCACATCGAGGAGAAGCCAAAGTAAACAAGGTCATTTTTCTTTGAAGGATGACGTCAGAGCTGGAGGGGCAGGCCTTAGAACGCCGCTTCAGCTGTCACCGGCCGCCGAAAAACGCCGACTTGGCCGAGAAAACTGTAGAAATCATTCTAAACCGGTTGCAATTATGTGACAAATTTCATTCCAGTACTTATGAACAAGTTTGCACAACGCAATTGAACGTGTTCGGCCGAAAAAAGGCTGTGTCGGCGTTGCAAAAGACCGGCATAGCAACACACGATGGCCGAATGTTATGATCTCGGCAGCCAATGGGGTATGTAGGTCAGAAAGGGCCGCGACCAATGAGGGCGCGAGCCGACGGTCACGTGGGTTTTGTTGTTATCATGTCAGCTGTGGTAGGAGAAAATATCTGCGGCCCGGGCAGAGCAGCTGATGCCGACGACGAGTTCAGACGTACCCCTCGTAGCTCCGTTGATTATGTGCTTTGCGGCCGAATCCACTGCGCTTGATGCCGAATCGTTGTTTGTCGTCCAGTTGAACTCAAGTGCAAATACTGTCAAGTGATCGCCGAGTAGATTCGCCACCGCCGAATTCTCGTCTCAGCCCCCGTCTCTCGCTGAACAAGCGAAAATCATGTCGACGGGCAAGAGATTGGCAAAGCGCTCCATCGTCGGCACCCGAGTGTGCGTGCCTTCCAAGGACAATATTTTCGTGCCCGGCGTCATCTGCGCCGTCAAGTCGGGCTCGTACAGTGTCCGGCTCGAGTCGCCGGCGCCCCGCACCACCTGCGAATTCCCCGAGAGGGACTTGGTCGGGCCCGGCTTCCGCTCCATCCACGGACTCACCCTCGAGGCTGGCCAGAAGGTTTTCCTCACCCACAACGGCAGGGAAGTGTCGGCCAACGTCGTCGCCCACGTCAGGGGCGAGAACAAAGACGAGGTCACGGTCACCCTCAACCCTGCCGCCCTAGAGGTAAGAACAAAAAAATTAGCAAAAAATGAAAAAAATACTTATTTTTTAATTGTTTCCTGAAACACAATTTCTTTTGAATGCAATGGTGGCTTTTCATGTGGATTTCTCAGAATAATTTCCTCCTTCCTTCATTGTTTCACGCCGCCGCAATTATTTGGTGTTTGTCCCGTTTTTCCCTTGAAAATAAGTTTTCAACCTGACCGGAGGTAGATCGTTGAGCGTTATGGCTTCCGAAGGCTTATCTGGAATAAAGAGAGAATTTTAAAAGGAAGGAAACTTAAATATATTTTATAATCTTATACATATAAGATTATAAATAAAAATAAAATCACGCAAAGGAATTTAAATAACCCCTTCTTTTCATTTTTTTCTTATTTAGATGAAAGGTTCAAATTTTGAAAAAAGAAAATAAAGAAATAAAAAAAATTAAAAGTAGAAAAAGGCATTGCAAAAATAATCATGACTTAAGTATTTTACAGCAATACATTTAATAAAAAATAATTTACTTCAAGATGAATGCTATTTAAATTTAATTATTAAAATTTAGCATTTTTTATTAAAAAAAAATTGATTATAAAATAATTGAAACTAAAATTTAATTGAATTATAAAATATATCAATTTTACAAATATAAAAATATTTATTAAAATTTTTTCGACTATAATATTGATTATTTTAAAAATACTATGAATAAATAAAAAATAATTACTTTTTTTACCAAATTCAATTTTCCAAATGCTTATATTTCTCCTATTTTTCAAATTTTTTTGAATTATTCTGTTTCCCAAAAAGTTGGAAAAAATGTTTCAGCTGCCAAGTGACTTTATCGGCCTTTCTAACTCGAGTTGAAGTTTTACGACTCAAGAAAGCAGAACGCAATATTATTCTCCTCTCTGCTTTTTTGCTCATACCTTTTTTTATCTAATTTATGGAATTTCCCCGCAAAACGCTGCCGAGAACACAATATTCGAGCGACCACGAACTTGCCGGCTCTTGCAAACGTACATTCACTTTTCATGACCTGTCAAGAGCTGAAACTTGGCGCAAGTGGAACGTATTAAAAGCTCTCCTTCCCCATTTCTCTCCATCTCTCAATTATGTCGCGTTTTTGCACTGCAAAAGCAATTATCTCCGTTCTATTAGGCGCTTGATCAAGCTGCGACGAAATAACAGGGAGGGAGCAGCAAAACGTGCCCTCTTTCTATTTTCAGCTGGAGAGCACATGCATTCTCAGGGAAGCCGCACAAGGATGGTAACGTGATTGGCCCACGCCTCTGTATATGTATTTTAATTTTGAACTTTTACGCGCAGCATCTATTCTCATATATATTCTCCTCACGCGACTTTTCTTGTGTACGGTTAATTCCCCATTCACGTGAGAACTTTTCTATCAAATCAATCACGCGTGAATTTTCGCTCCGAGACCAAGACACGTGAAATTTTATTTTCTTATTCCAGTAATAATTGTTTTACGGCCGCGCTCGACCGATTGTGATTCTATTTCGACGGCCGGGTATAGAAAAGCGTTTCTCATCGGCATACATTAGTAAATTATGCAGATGTGAAATAATTTTATGCTGGATGACTTGTCATAAAACTGCGCCGGCTTCGATTGTAATTTGCAACTTGAAATAATGTTTATTTATTAAAAGAAATTTACACCGACTAAAAAAATTACTTGGTATAATTTTCTCCCTCTCGTCGAAAGAAAGGCAAAAGGCGCGCAATTGCTAATACACTCTCTCACGATTTATATATTTTTATGGGACACCTTTCTCTTTCACGACTTTGAGTGAAAACTATGCGCGCTCTCAATGAGAACGCGGAGAATCGATTTTGCACTAGAGCTGCCACAGCCGCTTCCGCACTTTTCCTGCTGCTCTCCGAGTTGAAAAGCAGCGGCAACACAAACTCTCGCCGCGCAAAATGCAATCAAGAGTACAGTCATAGAATTTATATCTTCCATAGGAGGGACTCTCTTTTCTCCGTTTGAGATGTGTCATTTTCTACTCGGCTCCCTTGCTTTTCTGCTCCATTTCGCGCGTCAAGTGGAAGTTTCTGCAATTTCCACCGTAAATTGCTCGACTCCGAGATAAAATAAAATGCTGCGTTTAGTTCTTACCATTGCACTTCTAACGGTCCAGAAACTTATAATAATCGAAATGAAAAAATATGGGCTTTTTGTCAATGAAAAAAAAAGAAAAATAAAGAGAGGAAAAAATGTACTGAATAAGATTAAAAAATAAATTAAAAAACTTGCATCACAAAGGTGGTTAAGTAGTGAATATTATTTTAATATTTTGCTCTTTATTAAGCTATATTTTTCGCAATAATTGTGATAGCATTTTGATGAAAATTAATAATAATTGCTAATTGCCCAAGTAAAAAATTACGTCAATTAAAAAAAAATTAAAACGATATTTAAAAAATATTGAAATATTTGCAATAATATTCAATTAGTGATTATTTAAATAAAAATAATAAAAAAATGTTTTCTGTTTTTTGTTTGAGGCTCTTAATTATTTTTTTATTTCTCTTTTCTTGCTAAACCAAAATTGCACTATCCTTCGACGAACGCCTTATTTTTTTTATTTTGTCGGACTTCCCGTTCCTCGGCGTGGCCTGCTTGGAAGTTTTTTATTGTTTGTGTGGAAGTGGTTTGGTTCGCCGGCCGGCCGGCCGGCTAGCTCGAGTTTTGCGTACGCGCTCGGCTGCCAGAGTATTTTACTGCGCGCTGTTTATAAACGAGTCTAGCTCCGCGCTGCCTACGCATTATTAAAGGCAACAAAGTCTGCTGCTGCTGCTGGTTGGTTTGCCGGTCGTAATAAAAAATGCGTGATTACCGAGTGAGCGAGCGAGAGAGCGATCCGCTGGTGTGCCGAATTGTCAAGGGCCAAAAGGGCTGTTGGCAGGCAGGCAGGGAAAAATCTATTGTGCCCTCCCGTGAGATGACGTCACGGATCTTTGTTGTTAGGCGCAGCCGGCCGGCGAGCTCACGCGAGACTCACTTTATTTTTGTGCGCAGATATAAAAATATAAATTCGAATCCGACACGGGCAAGCTGGCGAGAGAGGAGGGACACCTTGCTTGCTCTCTCTCCTACAGACCAGGATCAGGCTGTGACGCAGTTACACACTCGGAGAGCTAGGAATTTTCATATAATAATACGCAACGCTCCTCTAACCGTGAGGAGAAGTAGGATCTCTTCCTTTTTATATCGCTGCGTGCTGGAAAAACCAGTTAAATGGCTTGTTGATGCTCTTTTTTCACCCGGCTTCGCTGCGTACGTTCTTATTAAATCTGACCGTAGATAAAAGAACAATATTATAGAAGATACTAATCCTTTCAGATCGTTTTAATTAGGTTAAGAAACCAAGCTATTAAAAAAAATCATAATTAAAAATTAATATTGATTTTTTTTTATCCAAATTTGGCTGAATCTTGACAATAATTTATTAAATTGAAGTTTTATGACAAAATTTTTAATAGATTTTAATTCATTCCCTACTTATTCTTAGATTAAAAATTACTAAAATTAAATTAAAAAAAATTAATTAATCTTTAATTTTATTATTCATTGTTCTCATATTTTCCAGTTTTATTTAATTTACCCCGTCTTAATAATTAAATTAATTATTTTAAATGCCTTCTTATAATGGTGCTTTTCTGTATGCAATAAAAATAAAATCAAATCGGTGTAATCAATTTGAAGTGGGAATTCCGACGAACAAAAACGGTGCACCTGTTTCCCTATCTCTGATCAAAAGTAGTTTTACGCCAGAGAGGACCTAATAAAATTAAGCTTCCGGTTCGAGCCGGATTAAGCTCGCGTTTTCCATTTCCAATCCTCTCTCTGCTGCTGCAATTGTCCAGCGTATTTTATTCCGTCCCCCTCCCCCGTTGGGCCGGAACCGAAAATAATATACTGTTCTTTTTTCAGAGTGCCGATTACCCTTGCAAATTGTATATGCGAGCGCTGGTCAAAGCACCGTTGTTTTGTTTTTCGTGAATGCAAACAGTGCCTGCAAATGGCAGCAGTGCCATTTGACACTCGAGAACGCGCGCAGAGAGTGGCACACGGCCAAGTTAATAAGCAAATATTGCTCACACATTTGTCCCGCCGCGATGATGCATCCGCCCTTCTTGATGGAAAGTATGGATGTAAATATTTGCTTAGGCAATCGTATAATCCTTCTTCTTCGAGGAAGTAAATGCACGTGTGCGAATGACAGTCCGCTCGCTTTGTTGCAATTCAACGCGCGACGACGCACTTAACCTCCTTTTTCTCGCTACCGCTAATTGTATACGACCAGTTATATTCTTCCATTATTTTTTCAACTTAATGCGCACAATTCAATGAAGCTATATCCCTTTAAGTGACTAATCCTCCACATAATAAAAGGCTTTATCAGTCATCCACGCTAAAGGAAATGCCTCTCGCGCATTATCGTCATTTCCTTTTATTCTTTGAATTATCTTTTCGTTTGCATAGTAAATATTTACTTTCTTCGAATCCAACTAATTGTTTCCATCTTTTTTTTGCAGCGTGGATCGCCAATTCTGACGCTAGTCAAGCGTCTGGACGAAGTTCGTCTGTTGGAGTCGCGCAAATCCGCACGCCTCATGGACCAGGACACTGATTTCGCCCGGCTCGCTGACATGGCCGGCGCTGACCGCAAAAGGACCTCATCTCACAGCATCGACGTCCCCAACTCCATCCACCAAGGGTGAGCACACAAAAGCTTTAATATATAGGACTTGATGAGATTCTCCTTTTGATCTCACGCATGATTTATTTTATTTCCCTTGGTCATTTCATGCCAAAAGAAAAAATCTGAGATAGAAATACGATTTGACAAGAGGGTGAATCTTTTATATAGAATAAATTCAAAAGCCCAACATATTTAAAATTTTAAATTTAATTATGTTTTGTTGTTGCTGTTTTTTTTTAAGTGTTCTTGAAAATTTTCTTCCTCATAGCTCGTACAACTGTTAAGCAGCCTGTCTAAATTGAATAAATTTTACCGGCCGGCACGCATATTTGCGTTGGGAGCAGTCTATGTAGAATCCAAGCCGCGCCTTTGCAACAAGGCCAACGCGCGACGGCCAGGATTAGCCGTCAAGAGAGATGACCTTCGTTTTCATTTCTGCCTCTTTGCGTTTTTTTTTTTAATTATCGGCGTGGTGCGCTGCAAATTGGTTTGTTTACCTGCAGAAACGCGAACGAAAACAGACTTGAATCGCACAAATAATCCCAAACACGGATATTACGGCGCCAGCATCGCGCGCGCAGTTATGTCAAGGCTCCGCGGCTTGCCCCATATTCGCGTTCGCAACTTTCGCTCCGCAGACGCGTAAAAATGATGTCGGCCGTGCCATTCTAATGTTGCGTAGTCGCGCGACGAAGGTGAAATCCACTCGTTAACATTCAAAAGGTTACAAAACGATCGCAGCTCTTTAAACGTCAATTAACCTCAGCTGTGCCTTTTTTTTGTAAATTTCCTCCCACTTGATTTTTTTTACCATTTAAATTTACGACCAATTTTAATTAATCGTGATTGGATTTTTTTTACCACGCTCCCCCAGCGTGAAAAATCGATTAGCAGCTGAAAAAGAGAAGCACCCACCGCTCGGCAGGACCAGCTGCTTTGCAATGGTATTCGCGGCCGCAGCTCCCCAAACTTTCCCTTCTTGTGTGACGTCACGCGAGCGAGCACCCAGCTGAGAATCAGCGGAGTCGACTTGGCTGCTGCAGAAACTGGGTGCAAGTTTATTGTCATTCGCGCGAGCAAAAAAATAAAACCTGTGGCGCGCTCGTCCCGCCAGAGAGAAACAAAAAGATAAACCGGGTCAGCTGCTTAATTCTTACTGCTGTCCACGTGAATTATATCATCAAAACAACATTAATTTAATTCAATGGAGTGACCCACGCACCACCTTTGGAGATTAGGAAACCGGACTTGAAATTCTCTCTTTGAGATTTATCCAACTTTTTCTCTACATTCCTGTACACGAAATATCAAACCGGTTTTAAATTGTCGCATTGGTATAAAATCAATCAATCGAAGGTTGCAGATTATTCACCTGGCTGCGCAGAAGGGTCGTGCACAAATTTTAAGAGGTCACTACGATGATGGCAATGAGGTCACTTTCAAAAGCTCAACGCGGGCGAGAGGAGTTCCCTTGAATTTGCATTAGCAATGACCCTTGCCGGTTGCGATGTTATGAATGATTGAAGTCTCACTCGCCGCTTTTCCATGGAGAGGCATTTGTATGTACAACTAGTGCGCCTTGCCTTGTACATATATCAATTAATATATTCGAAAGAGCGGTTGCTCACATACACCGTCTGATACGTGGTAATTTATCTTTCGTCGGCCTTGCCGCTTTTGCTCTCGGTATTATGCCGTAATGTATCGTTCCCCTCTCGAAACTGCCACTTACTGCTCATACTTTGTACGAGAGAGCATACACGGGTTAGTTCAACAATTACAAAGCGCAATTGAGCTCTTTTATTTTAATGCAGTATCGCTGTGGGTTTATGTAGCCTTGCCTGAAACCACACTCCCAGCCTCTCTAGCATTGAATGAGTGAAATCATTATTTCGCCTCGAGTTGTGTGGCCAAATTATGCTCCGCTATAAAATGTAACAAGAGGAAAAATGTTCCATTTAAAAAAAAATCAGCACTTAAAAAATTCTGAAAGCAAACCAAAAGGAAAAGTTAAAAAAATTTAATAAAGATAATTTGCAAATATATTTTTACGTCTATATACAAAAGAAGCAATGTAAATATTTAAAATTTTCAAACTTTCTTTTAAATTTTTAATTTGATCAAATTTGGGCACATATGAAACAAAAAATTATGCCAAATTATGCTCCGCTATTTTTTAACAAGATGAAATGTGTTCAATTAAAAAAAAAACATTATAGATTTTGGTGCGGTTAAAAATTTAAAAACAAAAAATCTAAACATATATCAAAAGGAAAATAGCATAAACAATTTTATAAGAATTATTTAAATTATTTTTATAAATGCATCTACAAACAAAGAAGCAAGTGAGTAATTAAAATTTTCAAACTTTCTTTTTTAAATTTTTAATTTGAGCAAAAACATCAGATTTCTCCAGACAGCTTCTTAGAAAGTCTCCCCGCGCTTGAAATTGCACGTCGTCAGAACATACGTATATAATTTTTTTTACAGCTACACATTATGTTCGCGGAATTCTGCAAACGCGGAAATAATGCGAAGGATGACCCAGCAGCAGTGCAGTGGATTTTATGACTTTTACAAAACTATTTTCTGTAGAAACGCGGTGTGCACTCGCTCGCTTTGGCACTCAAATTTTATTTGCTTTGTACAGCAGCCATTATCCAGCCATAAACCAGCTGTTCTAGGAATTTGTGTCAAATTAGAGGCTCGTTTTGCGCCATAAACGCCCTCCAAACTGTTTTTCGGTAGCTTTACTCACAATCCTTTCCTAGAAAGGCCAATTTCCTTCGGGTTTCACAATAATAATTTTCGCGCACTCTTCATCCCCCATCGACGGGCCCCAATATTTGATTTGACAAATTTTTTTCATTGAAAGGAAGGGCGCCCCTTGAACTGCGCCGGCCTGACCGCATTCCCCAAGTTCGCGAATCGCTGCTGCAACTTTCGCTCGCGCAAAAACGTGCCGGAGAGAGAGTGGATTACGTGTATATTTATTTTACTCACAGCACCACTGAAAAGAATTATACTCGATAGCCGGCTAATTGGAGTTACGCGGCGCGACTGCTGAAACACAATATACGCTGATTCGATCGCTCGAGTGTGCGTGCCCGGCAGATGAAATAAGAAAGAAAAATATCGCAGCAGCGTTTATAAGAGAACTTGTTATTGAATAACAATCCTGGCGAAGGTCGCACACACGATTCTTATTTCCTGTTACAATAGGCAGGGCGCAGTGACATTTGATACACGCCTAGCCAGAATTATTTTCTAGTTATACACAAAGCAGCGGTTTTTCTCTCTCTCTCGCGCTGTGAATTATATTATGCATATTATATGATGAGAGCCGAGAACAATTAAAGAAAGATACGGCGGGATGCTCTCCCATCTGGTCGCCAGTATCAGGTGTTGGCGGATTTCAACAACAAAATCGAGCAAGGAGCCACCGCGAGTAGCCTCGTCTTTCTCAAAAGGTGTGGGCTGGGTGGTTTGAAATTCGAAACCAAAACCGCTGCTTGAAATAAGTCGGCTGCCGTGAGGATTTGCTTGTGGGATTTAAAAAAAAAATGACACTGATTGCTAAAATGAATTCATGTCAAGTATCAAATATATAATTGCAAATCTAAAAAAATTCAAAATCTTGTTTGAATGTCAGATTTATATCTTTTTCCTTTCCGATTCACAGTGAATTGATGTAATTTCCCTTCAAACCCGCCGGCTGCCTTTTATTTTTATTTTTATGCCTTTCAAGATTAGAATTCAAACACAATAATGTGTATTTTGTTTGTGGACCGCACGCATATTGGATTGATAGGAGACGTGGGAGGCTCGCGCCGGCCGTAAAAAAGCTGTAAAATTTGGGGAGGAATTTCTTCATCTCGTTGACAGTCGCCGCGGAGGAAAAATTTAAAGAGCCGGCCGGCATCTCGCCAACCTTGCCTCGCTATAAGCAGCTGATTGCAGCAACACCGACCTCGATCCAAACCGACATACCACCACCTCCTTATACCTTTTGTCACGAGCACCGCGAGGCTGCTGCTGTGACGTCACGCCAAATGAAGTTTCTCCATCATAAACGGGCCCCTACTTCTCTTCTCGAGCCGCCGGTGCGCAAAAATCATATGGTGCGGGTACGACGCCGCACGAACCGCCGCAGCCGAGCATTGAATTGCACAATTGATATTCGCCGAAAGTCGCCGCGCTCGTCGGAATGCAGAAATTATTTATACGTGACGGAATTAAATTCAGACCTTCGGACCGGGAAAAACAGCTGCGCTGATGCTCGCCGGCCGGTCTATTTTGGCCCACGCATGTACATTCAAATAATAAAACGAGCCGTCTAATTTATTAGTGGTGTGCCAATGATGGTGTAATACACGTGACCTCGTTAAACGGCACATATATAAGTTTTGAAATGCAAGTTCCAAATTGATCTGACTGAGAGAGACAATTTTATTTATTAAAACTTTTACTCCGAGCCTGTTTGAATTTTTTTTTATTATCATTAAATTTTATCTGATCCGGTTTCGAAACAAGCTCAGGTGTTGGCCGATCGATTTCTTTTAATTTCCATCTCATTTCCCGCAGATTTAAATAAATTAAAGAATTCCATATCTCGCTGCTTCGATCTCTCATAAAATATTTATGAAGAGCCGAAACAATAATAATAATGTATCTGACCCGCGGCTGGTGACCAATTAATGTTTCAAATTATCGCTCGGAAGAGTAATACCGTTGCTTTTGATTGCATCTAACACGCATATAGTCATTTTCTCCCTAATGCGATTCTTCAATCAAGCACGGCTCTCATTATTTATATGTAGAAATGCACGCACTAGTGCATTCCGCCTGCAAACCCATACATTATTGCAACTCGGATGGACGTCATAGATATAACGGTGAGCCAAGCAAGCATTTTTCTACATTTTTTGTGCTGCTGGCAGGCGCCTAAGTGGGTCATACCTGCGCGGTAAAAGGCCTTCTTTTGCTCCTCTCTCTAGTGTATATTGCAACTCTTG